GGCCATCTCCCCTCGTGCCCCAGAGCCCCTGGCCGCTGCAGGGATGTGATATGCTCTGTTCTTTTCTCCCCCCTGCAGACCTTCCTGAGGGTGCGAGCGAACAGGCAGACCCGGCTGAACGGTGAGTCCCACTTGCTTTCCTCCCTTCCCGCCTCCCTGCTCTGTTTGTGGGGCGCGGGGCCTGCCCCCCACCCCCCTTGTTCTTGGAAACGCTCCTCCAGTTCTCGAGTCCCAGAGCCGTGGGGCTGTGGGGGTTGCGTCTAGTCCCAGCCCTGTCCGAGGCAGGATTGGCCCTGTGCAAACCTGCCTGTTGTGTACATCTGTGTAAGGCCATACCGGGGCCTGACACAACACGGATCTCGCACATGACCCCAGCAGGGGAATTGTAACAGCCAACATCTCGCTTCTGTAAAATGTCAATATAGGCTCCAGAGGACCTGCAGAGAGGGTCATGCCCCCCTAAACCTCCCTCAGTACCGAGTGGATTATGGGGGTAAACTCCTTCCTGACCCCAAGCACAGCGTTGGTCTGAGTGGAGGGACAAGACTTTCCCAGGCCTGGTGATTTCTTCATCCCTGTGCCTTCATCCTGGAAAACAGGGTGTCAGTGTCATGCCCCATTTCCCTCTGCTCTTGTGCTGGCCCCATGATGGAGAGCTGCAGGGGTGAACAGCAACCTGGGCCTTGCCAATATAGGTTGGCTTCATTAATAACCAAAAGTATCCGGGGGGGGGGTTTATAGGCCACTCCCTCAGGTGGTTCTAGCTTTTCCTGCCTGCAGCAGCACATTAGATTGGGATCTTAGACCTGCCCTTTTGCCTTATCCTGCATTTTGAATCTTGTGGCCAGGTGTGTCCATAGGATCTGGGCATTAGCAGCGTATTCTGGCTACTAGCGGTTTGCCTTGTCCTTGAACCTGACAGCTCAGGGCATCTGGATCGCGCGCACACAGCCCTCCCCTTCCCACAGGATGGGTAGAGCTGCTTGTTTATGTACTTCTGCGTATGTTCGGAACAAGCCAAAGCTCTGGGTGCTCGGTGAAAAACAGAATTGTAGGGTTGGAAGGACTAGGAGGGTCATCAAGAAATTCCCATGTGGTTTCAAGGTTTACTGTTCCTCTTTCTTTAACAATTGAACATCAAATACAATGTGTTTACCCATTATTTCCTTTAAATGATATTTCTACTTCATTGCGTGAAAACAAGTTTGGTGCAACACTGGTTAATTTTAATTTAGCCAAAGCCATGCAGCTTTCTTTGGTGAAACTTTAAACTTCCAGAAAGGTTGCTGTTTCTGTAGCAAATTTTAAATATTTCATTTTTATATTACCGCTTACCACCAAATTGAATGTTATTATAAAAATGTCACTAATACACAGTTGCCAAACTTGATGGTTCAGAATTATACTCTCAAAGCTGTGTTGATTCAGTCTTTCTCTCAAACTTTATGGGTTTTTTTATTTTTAAACCAATAGAGAATGTAAACAAGAGATCCTGACTTAGTGTTCCCAAAGTAGAGCCAGTGAACAATTGGAGGACTGCACCTTGGTGTAGTGCCTATCATTTCCTTTATTACATATGCATGTTAAGCAATTCTTAGCCTTAAAATGGTTTTAAGTACAATGTTGTACAATTGGCCTCTGTATCTCTTTGTGATCAAGTCCAAGGCGAACTTGACAATTTTAATATCTAATTTTAGCACAAAAAACACTAAGTGTTCAGTGCTGGGGGAAAATAACTTCCCAATGCTTGGTTTCTCAAATTAAGTTTTATCATAGCTTCCTGACACAGCATTACCCTCAAACTGAGAAAAAAGCGTAAGAAAATTCTGTTAACAGGGACTTTTTTTCTTTTTCTGTACAAGTGCCTGGCAATTCTGAGCTGTGGTTCTGTTATGAAACTGCTGCCTGTCACTATTAATCCTTTGCTGCAGTGCATCATGCTTCCATTGAAAGCCTGTGGGGTTTATACTTTTTGACTTCAGTGGAGCTAAGCTTTGACCCCAAGGTGGAGCTGCATGTGGTACAAGTGTGGGGCTGTGAGATGGGCTCTCTTAAATTCTAGCAGGCTCCATTCCCGGTTGGTTATTTAAGAGATGAATGTTGGTTTTGTTCATCATTAGTTTTGTCCTCTTTCTCTGGACCCCTTCTGCTTCTGCTGTATCCTTTCTGGGGGACAGTGACCAGAACTGGAGACAGTATTCCAGGTGAGGGCGCCCTACTAATTTTACGTATTGGCATTATCATTTTGATTTCCGTTGTTCTTTTTTTGTGTACATCCTAATGAGGTCTGCTGTAGCTCATGCAGCGGTTCTGGACTGGTTACTAGAATCTTCAGGTGAGGTTCTGTCACTCGTTATGCAGGAGGTCAAACAGAGCTACTGACTCTTTGTAGCCTGTACTTCCATGACTCTGTGACCGTTCCTGTACGCTGAGTGGACTTGCCCATAGCAGTGCCTGGGCCTTTCTACACATGGTTATATCTAATCGAAAACCCAGCAGTGCTGTTGAATGGTTCAGATTATTCTTTCTGATGTTTATTGCCTTGCATTTGTCATTGCTGGATTTAGTCCTTCAGTCCTCTCTTTGCCTTGCCTAACAAATATGCTATGAGGCTGACAAACATCCCTTTTCAGATCGCTAATAAACATCTATCTAAGCCTTTGTCTGGACAGAGAATGCTTCCCCACACTGAAAACTGCTCACATGCTGGTTTTTGCTCTCTGTCTCGCAGGCAGCTTCTAATCCAGGAGGGAGCTCTCCTCGTGCCCTATGACAATTTAGCATCCACATTCCTAATTTAGTTTCCATAATAGCCTCTTACATGGGAGTTGCTCAAAGGCTCTTTGAAAGTCCAAATATACTGTTGATTGATTTTTTTTTTTTTCTTTTCTGCATTTGTGTGTGTGTGTGGTTGGGTTTAATTCACTTGCATTTTTTATGCACCAAAGAAGTCCTGTAGATCAGAAACAGATCTTTCTTGACAGAAACTGTCCTGTAGCACAGTGGTCGTCTCTGTGTTACCGAATTGTATTTAATCATTGCTGCAACCTTGGTGCTAACGTAAGGCTTGCAGGTTTGGTTCCCAGTCCACATGATGTTTTCTTGCAGAGAGCAGCACACCGTTGTCTGATTTCCAGCATGGTTTCAATAGGTGTCAGTTGTTTGGCCGTTTCATTTGTAACTTCCTTCACAACTCCTGGGTCCTGATGGCTTGTTGCTGTCCTGTCAGGCTGTGGTTCATGTCAGCTCTCAAGGGACAGCATGAGTGGAGAGGGAAGTATCATATCAAGGTGGCTGTAGCCGTGGTCTTAGTGTAGCTGGTCCAAATGGAGTTAATGTGATGTTACAGTTGGAGGACAGGGGCGCTCACCTGGGGGAAGCCCCTGCCAGCCCATGATGTTAGTTCTGTAGGTCAGTTCCGTCACTGGGAGTTGCAAGCAGACTGGGGGTGGATACAAGCTCTGGAGCAGCCATTTAACATCCTCCACGTGCAGAACACCAAGTGAATATATGCATCCTGTGCTGGCCATGCTTCAAGGGCAGAGGGTGCTGCCCTGGGTTCAGAATGGGCAGCGGCCCCTGAAGTCCCAGATGCATCACAGTGCTAATTTCTCTCTGTTCCTTCATGCAGGAGGCTGGCTCTTAAGTTTCATTTGCCCTTCTGCTGCTGCTGAATTCTGCAGGCCACCTTTTCAGAAGAGCCTCCTATGTGTTTATGCATTGGTGCTCTCATTTTGCATGGGCAAAAGCAGCCTGCCTTGAACTGCCTGCCTGTGCAGTCAGTCCTATGGCGTTCTGGATACCAGGCTGTCTGCTCGCAGCTGGCATTTGTGACTGAGTCCAGCAGGCCAGGGACAGGCCTGTTTGTATGGAGAGGTGTGGAATGAGCCATCCCTGATGACCACGTTGGAAGCCTGGCTGTGTGACCGCCCCTCAGGTCCTCATGTGAATCTGCCCCTCGTGATCTCTCTTGGGCAGCTGTGCCATGACATATGCTCTGGATCTCAGATAGCTTCACTTCTGCCCACCTAGTGTGTACATGGTTCTCTTGCTTCAGCCTGCTCTGGCGCCAGCTCATCTCGTCGGTCCATGGCTGCTCCTGCTGTTGACCAGCCTCCTTCCCCAGCCAGCCTGGGGCTGTTGCATGGAGAAGTTTACAGCTTTGGTTTGGGTCCCGTTGAAATTTTCCCAGCCCTGGAGGCTCCCCATCTAGTGCTGTAAGGAGCTAGTGCTAGCAAACACCAAACTCATTTAACAGAAAAAGAACCCCTCTTGCTCCACGAATGCAGTCTTGGTAAAACCCTCAGTAGAGCCACAAAAGAGGAATGGGCTCAGCCTGTGGATGGTTTACAGCTCCCTCCCCAGCAAATTCCAAGGGCCTGGCAATGCCCCATCCAGACCCTGACCCCTGAAGCTGCCTCTGCAGGACAGCAGACCCTTCCTGAAGCTGGGTGGGCTCTGCATGGGTGGTCCGCACCTGCAAGGCACCCATTTTGTGTGGCCTGCCGAAGGGCTGGGGCTGCTCCTGGCCACCCTGCCGTTGTGCAGGGGAGAGGTGACTGGCTTGAGGAGTTAACAGAAATCATTGAATGATTGTTTGGACAAACAGAAGAACACCAGAGCTGTGGGCATTCCCTGGGCAAGCCCTCGCCAACTGCTCCGCGCAGGAGGGGGAACTGGAACGCAAGCTCTACAAGCGTCACCTTTGCTTCTGACAGAGTCAGTGTTGTGTGCGGTGCACAGCCCTGTGAGGCTAGGTGCTTCCCAGGCAGGTCACCACTCCTTGTCCTGGCTCTAAAGGGTGCTCTGGGGTTATAGGATTCTCCCAAGGGGCAATGAAATTAAATCTAGGCTGCTCTGTCTTGAAGCAGGTGGGTGAGAGGGTGATGAGGAGCAGCAGCTCTCAGAGGGAAGGTAGGTGTAAGCAGTGGTGGAACAATGTGCTCCAGTAACTCAACATGGACATGTTCGCAATTGTGCATGGGGGCACAGGAGAGAGCTCCAACAGCGAGGGTGATGGAGGTGCTGAGACTCCACTCTCTGCCAGAGGCTGTTTTTTGTGCCCCCAAGCTAGCTAGCAGGGAGTGAGTTCAAGCAACATTTTGCCTAGTTCAATCCAGCCTGCCCCAGAGCAGGGTACTGGCTCATCCTGCTCCTGGCTAGTGCTGTGTTTGGGCTCTGACCGGAGGCCATCCTGTGACACCCTACACAGCAGAGGGCTGTGGCTACAGGTGTCCCTGCCCTGTATCCCACCTGCTCTCTTCCACGCTGTGGCCTGGGACCTCCCAAGCTGCCATGGTTCCCTTGTGGCCATTGCCTTCCTCCTGAGATTGGCTCCCCGTGCTGCAGCACTCCAGCAGATCCATGTACTGGGCCTCATCTGTGCGGCTGGGTGTGCCCCAACTTGGCTGCTGTGGCACTCACAGCAGCGGGCAAGGGGTGAGCAGATCAGTCTCTGAGCACAGCCCAGGGCAGAGCATGTACGGTGGCGCATACTTAAGGTAGACCTGATCAAGTACATCAGTTAAAATGAAGGCCACAAAGGTGCGGAGAAACCCTCTGATGGCCTAATTATGATTATTAATACTAATAAAAATTAGTGAACTCCTCACCTCCTGGCAGAAGGCTTGAATAATAACCAAGGAGGCTTTGTTCAATCAGAGGAGGCAGAGGCACAGCAGCGGCTGCAGGGAGCGCCTGCTGGACGGCACTCGGGCTCTCAAGTGGAGTCCCCTCTGCTCCGACTCGCCAAAGGATTGCTGTGCTTTTATCTTCTTCAGTCAAAGGCAAGAAAAAACTCGGCATCTCCCTGTTTGGTCCTGCGACAGGCGCGCAGGGGGAGAGAGATTAGTGAGCTAATTAGAAATGATCGCATCTCTCCACACTAATTAGCAGTGCTGTGGTCTCACTCGCATGTTCTTTTGAGTTGCTCCCCTCTGGGACGGCCCCGCAATCGCCTCCTGCCTTTGGGGCCGCTCCATTCTTCTCGTGCTGATTGGAAGTGATAGCCGAGCTGCGTGCCAGGGATGGGAAGCATGGCTCGGGACAGGCCTCCTGGGATACAGTGCTCCCTTCATCTCCTGGCCGGTGCCTGGACCTCATGCGCTGCTGATGGCACCATGCCACCACTAACAACCATGGGACGAAACTGGCAGAGGAAGCTGCTTTCAACACCTCTGTTCTCCTGCAGCCATGTGACTTGTGGCACTCCCGCCTCAAGACAAAGAGCACATCATGCTGACCAGGGGAGGTGCAGCTGGCTCTGGCATGGAGATGTGGTGACCTGGGCCCTGTTCCTCACCCTATTCCTGTCCCGCCTGAATCAGCAGCAGAGGGATGGGACAGCTGAAGTGTAATGGCCCCAGCCTCCCAATGCAGCACAGCACAGCCAGGCAGGAGGAACTAGGAAGGTTCCTCCTAATCTCTGCTCCTCTTTTCCTTTGAAAGAAGGACAGAGAAGTGGGGGAAGGCAAAAGAGTAACACCAGTGTAGAGGGGATTTGCAGTTCCCTGTTGCAGTCTAGTGAGCGTACTGTTTCTCTGGTTCTCAAATGTGTTAGACTCAAGGCACCCTTGGTAGGCACCAGGCCTCCCTTGGAAAATGCCAGCTCTTAGTTTTCACTCTTTTTTTTTTCTTTTCTTTTTTTTTTAACTACAGAAAAATAATGGAGTGATTCTTCTGTGGCATATAGTTCAGAAAGCCCTCAACTGGGCAGCATGTTTTTAACACTCCTAAACAGTGTTAATTTTGTGTAGCACCCCTGAAAGGATCTCGGGGCACCCCAGCGTGCTGTGACATGCTGGTTGAGAACTCCCAGGCGGTCAGAGGAGAGAGGGTTGGAGAGCACCTTCTTCATCTGGGCTGCACACAGTCACACCCTTGGTGTTCATGCTTCTTCCAACTCCCATTCACTCTGCAAGACCAAGCCCTGCTGCAGGAGAGGAAACTGCCTTGGGTAACATCCTGCTGACCTGGGCAACATTGCACCATCACACTTGCTGTCTGAGATGCGAACTAGGAGGAGCCCAGTCAGGCTGGGCTCCCGTTTATAGTTAGCAGAGCTGGTAGTTCAGAGAGGTGTTGATTTTATTAGGAGTGGAGTGCATGAACAAGGCCTTGTGTGGTTTTGTCCAACTTCAACGTAGCAGGGCCCTTCTTGAGGAGGCGAGGCAGGGAGTGAGGCATCAGGTTTGATTGGCCAAAGCGGGAGCTGAAACTGGGAGAGCTCTGTGCTAGAGGGCACCCCAAGCATGTGTGGGGAAACTGGTGTTCGACAAGTCTTTCCGTTCCCCATTGCCCAGAGTAGCTGCTCACGAGGGCACTGGAGCCAGTAGGAGGTGCGGATGCTAGGTGCTGAAGCTGATGTGTGTCAGCTGGGAACAGCAGGTCGGAGGGCTGGTTCCCAGCAGCATTTGCAGGAGTGGTGCATTTGCAGATCAGCTGGAAGGAGGGCAGTGCTTTGAGGAAGCATCTCTCTCCTCTGGGAGCGGGAACCCCTGGCTTGAGCACATGGTGGGCAGTGAGCATCCCTGCCTTGAGCTGGAGAAAGGTGATGTGCCCTGGTCTGAAGAGCATGGGGGCATGCAAGCCAACAAGGACTCCTTCCTGTGCTGGTGGGAAACAACACCCCCCCCCCCC